TCTGGGCCACCGGGGCTGCCCAATAAATACATATTTTAAAAAAGATTTTTAGGCAATCTCTACATCCAACGTGGGGCTCAAACTCACAACCCTGAGATCAAGAGTCTCATGCTCCACTGACTGAGCCAGCCAAGTGCCCCTGGGACTTCATTCTTTTTAAATATGGTAAAATACACATAGTATAGGATTTACCATCTTAGCCGGGTTTCTTTCTTTCTTTTTTTTAAACCATCTTAACCATTTTTGAGGGTACAGTTCAGTGGCATTAAGTACATTTCCATTGTGATGCAACCATCACCACCATCCATCGCCAGAATTTTTCCAACTTTCCAAACTGAAACTGTCACCATTAGACACCCCCTCTCCCCCAGCAAGCCCCCTTCCTCTCTTTTTTTAAAAGATTTTTATTTATTTATTCATTCATGAGGGACACACATGCAGAAAGAGAGAGAGAGAGGCAGAGACAGGCAGAGGGAGAAGCAGGCTCCATGCAGGGAGCCCGAGCGGGACTCGATCCAGGAACCCCAGGATCAGGCCCTGGGCTGAAGGTGGTGCTAAACCGCTGAGCCACCCAAGGATCCCCCCCCCTTTTTTTTACATTCCCACCAACAACAGGTCACAAGAGTTCAACCTCACAGCTAATTTCAACTTCTCACCACCATTATCAACAGGAGGATCGCCTTCACACCTACCTCCCTGCTGCTGAGATGATATCTCCAAGACAAACTCCCACCAGTGGAATGGCTGGGTTCAAGGGCATATAGCACCGGAAGTGATCTCAGCCAGGCCAAATCCCCCGCGGCAGTGTGTGATGCACCCCTTTCCCACACCCCTGCCACCACCGGACAGCTCCTCTTGCTCATCCTACCAGCTGAAACCCCCTCTTTCGGAGCGTCTCTCGCTCGCTTTTGGGTGCAGATGCACCCAAACTTTGTCGTGTCATTGGGGTTCAGCCCCCTCGCTTGATCCCCATCTGTGTCATTGTCATTTAAGCAACATAAGTCCCTCTACTTCTGTCTGCCTGTTTCTCTCTGTCATCTTTGTAACCAAACTCAAAGGGTTCACCACTTGGGGTGCCCCAAATTGAACAGAACCCAAGAAAATGTTGAAAGCAAAGAGGTTTTAACTTCTTGTTACAAGTAAGAAGAAATGGAGATAAATCTCCAAGTACTGTCTCCCCCTGAGGCTAATACAGGAAGCTTTTATCCCGTGTCTTAGCGGGAGGGGCCAGGAGGCTTACACAGGCACTTCTGGCTCAACTGTGCGTGCCTAGCACGTCGACATGCTAGTGCATACAACGTATGTTCAAAACATGGTGGATAAAAAAAATTAAAAAATTCAAAAAAGCAAAAAAACAAAACATGGTGGAAAGCTGTGCCTATAGGAGATTTACTTTAGGAGAACTCAGCAGAGGGGGTCCCTGGGTGGCTCAGCGGTTTGGCGCCTGCCTTTGGCCTGGGGTGTGATCCTGGAGACCCAGGATCGAGTCCTGCGTCAGGCTACCTGCATGGAGCCTGCTTCTCCCTCTGCCTGTGTCTCTGCCTGTCTCTCTCTCTCTATCTCTCTCTTACAAATAAATAAATCTTTTTTTTTAAAAAAAAGGAGAACTCAGAAGAGCTTTGGCGCTCAGCTCCAGTCTAGCTCAGACTGGCTCACATAAGGCGCGATCGGGGCAAGACCCTTCTAGCAAGGGCCTATGGGGTGGAACGCCTAGTTAGTTGGGTCATTTCTTGGCTGGAACTGTTGGCTCTGCAAAAGGAATCATATTCGTCCTCTGCTTTTATCCCTTGCCCCCGTCCCTTCTGCTGATAACGTTCAGCCCTCTTCTTTATTTTTATTTTTTTAATTTTTTTAAAGATTCTATTTATTTATTCATGAGAGGCACACAGAGAGAGAGAGAGAGAGAGGCAGAGACACAGGCAGAGGGAGAAGCAGGCTCCATGCTGGGAGCCCGACGTGGGACTTGATCCCGGGTCCCCAGGATCACACCCCCTGCTGAAGACGGCGCCAAACCGGTGAGCCACCAGGGCTGCCCCTTTTCTGTATTTTTAAAGATGACTTTCTTGGGCAGCCTGGGTGGCCCATTGGTTTAGTGCTGCCTTTGGCCCGGGATGTGATTCTGGGGACCCGGGATCGAGTCCCACTTCGGGCTCCCTGCACGGGGCTGCTTCTCCCTCTGCATCTCTCTCTGTAATAAATAAATCTTTAAAAAAAAATAAAGATGAATTTCTTTATTTTAGAGAGAGCACAAATAGGGAGGGAGAGGGAGAGAGAAGCCCAAGCAGACTCCACACTGAGCACAGAGCCCTACTCGGGGCTCAATCTCATGACCCCGAGGACCCGAGATTGGGACCTGAGCTGAAACCCAGTAGGATGCTCAGCTCAGCCCGCGGTGCCACCCAGGCGCCCCTTTCAGCTCTGTTTGAGTCACTTCCCAGTGCATTCCAGCTGCCACTTGGTCACCTCCCCCGGGGGCTCACTGTGTGCCTCACTCAGGCCCTGTATGCCTCTTTCACCCCGTCTCTTCTCTGTTCCTCCCTCTTTGTCATCGGGTCTCTGCGTCTCCTTCACGCTCCTGGCTGGCCTGAGTGCCCGGCTCTCCCGGGCCACCTGCTCTGTCACTCATGCTGGCTTGGGTGTCCTGCCCTGGTTACTATTCTGGGATGTACGGTGGACATTTGAGCAGCCTGGGGCTATCAAGGGAAGGCTTGGGGGTTCTAGGGTCAGGGGTCCCCTCCCCCCGCCATCAGGGCAGAAAGACCCGGAGTGAGTCTCCCGGCTCTAGTCCACAGCGCAGCCCCGGCCCCCAGCCCCCAGCCTTGGCCCCAGCCGCGGGGCTCCCTTCCCCTCTCACCGCAGTCCTCGGGCAGGGGTCACCCCCCTCCGCCCGCAGGGCCCCTACCTACTCAGAGCGGCCGGTATCCGCGCCCGCGGAGCTGTGAGCAGATCGCAGCACCCCCGCGGGACCGCAGCGCCGTCTGGGCAGGCCCGGGTGGGGGAAGAGGAAGAGGCCGGGCCGCCCCGCCCTTCCTGGCGCTGGTGTGCCCCGCGGGCCGGCGCCCCGGCTCCACCTCCGCCCCCGACGTGGAAGCAGGCGCCGGCGGCCGGGGCTGCGGGCGGTGACCGGCCTGAGTCCGTCGGGGCACCAGGCCAGCGGAGGCTGCGCCCGTCCCCACGGCTGGGCGATCACCGGGAGCCGCCCGCGGGGGACCGCGCCCCAGAGGGGGGGGCTACAAGGCCCGCAGCCCGGGGCCCGTGGGCGCCTGCTCTGTCGCCGTGGGGACGACCCGGGCACTCCGGGGACTCTGTAGGCCGGCGGCGGGTCCTCGCGGGTGATGGCGGCGCGATCGCGAGGGCAGTGTCCAGTTGGCAGCACCCGTGGGCGTTAGCACGTTACGACTGGAACTGAGATGAGACGACTCGAAAGCCTTTTTTTTTTTTAAAGATTCATTTTTATTTATTTATGATAACACGCATAGAGAGAGAGGCAGAGACCCAGGCAGAGGGAGAAGCAGGCTCCGTGCAGAGAGCCCGATGTGGGACTTGATCCCGGGACTCCAGGGTCACACCCTGGGCCGAAGGCAGGCGCTAAACCGCTGAGCCCCCCGGGATCCCCGAAAGTTTTAAGATTTTGTTTGTTTATTCATGAGACACACAGAGAGGCAGAGACACAGGCAGAGGGAGAAGCAGGCCCCCCCGCAGGGAGCTCGAGACAGGAATCGATTCCAGGACCCCGGGGGGTCACGTCCTGAGCTGAAGGCAGATGCTCAACTGCTGAGCCCCCCAGGTGCCCCTTCTAACTGGTTTTTATGTAGAAACTCACTCTTTGGGTCTTCAGCCCAGGGCGTGATCCACCGGGGCTGCCTCTCGAAAGTTTTTTGGTTTTTATTATATTTTAAAGATTTTGGGCAGCCCGTGTGGCTCAGCAGTTGAGCGTCTGCCTTCAGCTCAGGGCATGATCCCAGGGTCTCGGGACCGAGTCTCACATTAGGCTCCCTGCGAAGAACCTGCTTCTCCCTCTGCCTGTGTCTCTGCCTCTCTCTCTGTGTGTATCTCTCATGAATAAATAAATAAATACAAATTAAAAAAAAGATTTTGGGGATACTTGGGTGGCTCAGCTGTTTAGTGCCTACCTTCAGCCCAGGGCGTGATCCCAGAGTCCTGGGATCGAGTCCCACATCGGGCTCCCTGTATGGAGCCTGCTCTTCCCTCTGCCTGTGTGTTTGCCCCTCTCTCTCTGTGTGTGTGTCTCTCATTGATGGATGAATAAAATCTTAAAAAAAAAAAGATTTTAAGTCATCTTTATGCCCAATGTGGGTCTTGAACTCAGGACCCTGAATTCAAGGGTGCATGCCCTACCATCTCAGCCGACGAGGTGCTCCTATTTCTTATTTTTGAAGCACAGCTGGATTGACCTCAAAAAGTGTTTACAGGCTTAGAAAAAATAAAGAAAAAATATAGGCTGCTGAGCGGATCCAGGGCTCGCTTCTGGGGTGATGACCATGTTCTGGAACTAGCTCAAGGCCGTGGTGGACAACACTGGAAGTGCACTCAATGATACATAGTATTTTGTGATCCTAGGCCTGTGTTGGAATATCCGTGACATATTGCACATAACATATGTATACACGTATCGCACAAGCCTGTAATATTGCAACGGTGGCAACTGTGTGCGGACGGCAGGTAAAATCACACAATGTATCATAATATGCGCGTAAAGTACAGCGTGTAATATAAAATGCTACAAGACCGTAGGAAACGGTTAATTCCGCGATGTGCACTTAGTCTCGACAACAACGAAGCGGGGCGCGGGGTCCGGTAACGGCGCCGCCAGCCCGATGGCGGCGGGGACGCTTCGGGGACGAACCGAGGGGTCGAAGGGGCGCGCGGCCGCCGAGGCCGGGAGCGCGCGGGGGCGGGGGCGGGGCGGGAGCCCGGGGACCCGCCTCCGCTGTCGTCAAGCGGCCTGCGAGCATTTTGCGACAGGCCGTGGGGAGCCGGCCGCCGTCGCCGGCTCGGTTTGCGGCGGGGGCGCGGGGGCGCGGGGCCCCCGTGGCTGCGGCCGCCGCCCCTCCTCTCGCGTCCCGCTGCGACCCCCGGGTCCGGAGCCCGGGGGCGGCTCGGCTGTGGCGACGGAGCTGGGCGGGCCCGGGGCGGCCTGACCTGCGACGTGACCTTGGTCGAGTTCCCTCGTCGCGCGGGGCCGCGGCGGCCGCCTGGGCCGGAGCGGGGGCGCCGGGGCGCCGGGGGCGATGCCCCTCCACGTGAAGTGGCCGTTCCCCGCCGTGCCGCCGTTCACCTGGACTCTGGCCAGCAGCGTCGTCATGGGCCTGGTGGGCACCTACAGCTGCTTCTGGACCAGTGAGTGGACCCGAAGCCGAGGCGGCATCGGTCACGGCTCCCCGCGCCCGGCCGCAGTTGGGGTTCCGGGCTGTGGGCGCGGGTAGGGGCTAGTTGGTTGGGCTGGGGAGCCCCGGGCCCCAGGGAGGATGAGGCCAAGACCCCTCCCCACGGTCCGGCTCTCCCCCCCAGAGTGCATGAACCACCTCACCGTGCACAACAAGGAGGTGCTGTATGAGCTCATCGAAAACCGAGGCCCAGCCACGCCTCTCATCACCGTCTCCAATCACCAGTCCTGCATGGATGACCCTCATCTCTGGGGTACCTGGCACCAGGGTTCTGGGCACAGGGAGGCCTGGGGACAACCTGGGACGGGGCCAAAAGAGCAGAGCAAACGCACTCTTCACTGAGCTCTGGACGTATCCCTGGGACTCCTGCTTCCGGGGGGGGGGCGGGGGGACTGCCCCAACGATGAAAATATGATTTGGGACTTCTTCAGGATCCTCTCTCCGAAAATGATGTGGCGAGGGCCACAGAGATTCGGAGGGAATGAGGAAGTGAGGAAACGACCGCAGGGCAGAGTCTGATGGCTGCTTCACCTTGATGCAACCCTCCATTCTCTAAAGCATTCAAAGTCCCACAAACTATTGGAACAAGTCTGGGAACTGTACCGTGGCCCGTTAGGGAAGGTCTGGCTAGAGGCTCAGTGGCCTTGTCCTGGCTCCAGGTTTGGTGCAGGCTGAGCTTGTACCCTCCAACCTGCCTCACTTGAGAGTCTGCCGCCTGGGAGGTCCTGCTCTGCTGACTTCACAGGGAGCTACGTGCTCGGCCCCAGTATCCCCGATGCCTGGGTAGAGGTACCCAGAGCTTTTATTGATGAATTCAGAAGGTCACACTGTCCGAGAGCTCATGGGAAGCCAGTTGGGCAAATCGAAGCCTCACCCTGGCCACTGAGCAGAGAAGGGCCTGTACAGTGCCACAGGCAGGTCCCATGAGGCCAGGAAGGAGCTTTTAGGGCCATTCAGTAACCTGGAGTAGGATGGTGGCAGTAACACGGGAGGGGGAGAAGAATAGGCAGTGGCAAAACGTGCCAGGGTGCTAGGCAGGCCAGATGTGCTGACTAATCAGGTATACGCAGGGGTGGGAGGGAGAGAGCACCACAGACAACTTGGGGTCCAGCCCAAGAGTCTGGAAGATTCTACTTTGGGCCACAGGGAGATGGTAGTGCTGCCCTCCCTGTTCCTCATTCCCTGAAACTAGGTGACAGAAAAAGATGCTCCCTAGGGACAAGGCGTGTTGGGGCATGAAGCCGTTTCTTCTCTAGGGATCCTGAAACTCCGCCACATCTGGAACCTGAAGTTGATGCGTTGGTGAGGAGGAATGGGCCCCTGGCATTGGGCCTGGCAGGCCTCACCCATCTCTGCCCAGATTTGCCCTCCTCCTGCTCTGCCCAGGAGGCGGCATCCAGCAGTACAGGCAGGGCATGGGGTGGGATCCCACAGGCCCTCCTGTGCCTTTCCACATTGCCGACGATGTCAGGCATCATGTTGGGCGGCGGGTAGGGAATTAGGGTGCAGGGGAGGCCGGGATGACCACATCTGTCCCTACTTCAGGACCCCCGCGGCTGCAGACATCTGCTTCACAAAAGAGCTACACTCCCGCTTCTTCAGCTTGGGCAAGTGTGTGCCTGTGTGCCGAGGTAAGCTGATCCTCCAAAAAGGGGCTCGTGGGCTAGTGAACGCAGGGAGGCACCCCTGAGGCCTTCTCTGGTTTACTTTGGAGTGAGGACTGGTGGCTAGTGCCTCTGGCTTAGTAGTACGGGGAGTGGAGGGACCCAGGTGGGACATGGAACCTGGGAATGAAGGGAGCCAGAGGCCACTACCCCACTAGTGTGAGTCTCAGTTGCATGGTGTGGTTGCAGGGGTGGCACTGGTTGCTAGAAGAGTGAGGACTCATTTCCCGGGACTGCATGAGGCTTGTCAGGGAGGCATTGCCCACAGCTGAGAGACTCCCTGATGGCAGTGAGGTGTCATTGGTCTGCGATGGTGGTGGCATGTGCTGGAGGCTGCACAGTTTGGGGAACAAACAGGCTTCTGGGGTGAGAGTATGACATTGAGTGACTACTCGGCACTTCTCGAGCACTTCAGGAGATAGGGACCATTTTGATGCCCATTCTCCAAATAAAGGGGTTTGGAAGGATTAAGCTGCTGGCCCAGCATCATGGGGTGACATATGGCAGAGCGAGGGTTTGATTCCAGGTTGCTCTTTCCTCTGGGGAAGTCCGACATTTTCTAGGCAGAGTATGAAACGCAAGATGTTCTAGACACAGGAAGCGCATGCCAGGCGCTGAAGAGGTAAGCAGTAAAGGTAGAAAATGTAGGTTGCAGGCCCCATGTGAAAGTTCTGGAATAATCACGTTAAGAATTTTGGACTCTATTGGCTCATCAGGGTAGTGATGTGCCTTCATCTGTGGTTCAGAGAGAGCACCCTGGCTGCAGCGTGGCTGGTGGATGGGAGCAGAGCCCACGGGAGGCAGGAAGCCCAGTTGGGGCTGTCTCAGTAATTCTGGCAGCAGAGGGTTGTAGCTGGGCCGCTGGAGGCTGCTATGGAGAGCTGGACAAGGGGGCTGCTCCGGACGACGCAGAGCTGGTAGAACTTGTTCATAGATTGGGAATGAGGAGGGGTAAGGAAAAGATAGCTCGAAGATGCCACAAGGTGACTTCTGATGACACTGAGCCACTGGGAGGGTGGGATGAAGGCGAAGCAGTGTGAGGGTTGGGAGGGGGAACTGAGTTCTGCTTTGCACATGTTTCATCCGAAGAGCCTATTGCCCGAGGAGGGGGCAGTCCCACAGTCAGTGGGAGGTGCAGTTCTGGAACTCAAAGGAACAGTCGGGGACATATTAGGGACATAAGCACTAACAAAGTTGCAAAAGTAGAGATAAGATTGCTGAGAAGAGGGATCCCTGGGTGGATCAGCAGTTCAGCATCTGCCTTTGGCCCAGGGTGTGATTCTGAAGTCCCGGGATTGAGTCCCACATCAGGCTCCCTGCATGGAGCCTGCTTCTCCCTCTGCCTGTGTCTCTGCCTCTCTCTCTCTCTCTCTCTCTCTCTCTCTCTCTCTCTCTCTCATCAATGAATAAATACAATCTTAAAAAAAAAGATTGCTGAGACGGAGAACAGATGGAGAGCAGGGGCCAAGACGGCCCCTCAGAGCGTGAATGGACAGACAGGCCACCAAGGCAGCAGGAAGCAATGGCCAGAGAGGAAGGAAGGAAAGCACGCAGGGCCCCTTGACACTGTGGAAACCTCCACTGACCCCAGATAAGCCATTTCTGTCAAGTGACAGCTGTAGGAGCTGCCGGGACAGGATGGAGCAGAGATAGCAGGGATGTCCCCTCCTCTCAGCAGTTCAGTCATGAGGAGGAGGAGCAGGAGGTAACCAAAGGGAGTCACAGGGCAAGGGAGAGTTTCTTTTCTTTTTTAAAAAGATTTATTTATTTATTTACTCTATTTACTCATAAGAGACAGAGAGGCAGAGACACAGGCAGAGGGAGAAGCAGGCTCCCTGTGGGGAGCCCGATGCAGAACTTGAACCCAGGACCCCGGGATCACACTCTGAGCCAAAGGCAGACGCTCAGCCACTGAGCCACCCAGGTGTCCCCAAGGGAGAGTTTCTTATTTCTACTTGGTCAAAGTAAAATGTGAAGTACAATAAAGTCACCTCAAAAAATAAGGAAGAGCTTTTAATGAAAAGCTGCAGTGCCCACCCCTCAAGATCCTCAGATCTACTCCTTAGAGACAACTAACTGCCTTGGACGCTTTCACTTCCTGCTACATTTGAAGGCTACTTCATTTCTCTGAAACAGAAGCAGAAGCTACAGTGTTGTGGCTAGTGACCATGGAATTGTTTATCACAGCCCACCTGACAGATGGAGACTCTGCTCGGGTACCCTGTTCCTGAGTCCCAGTACCTCCTTTCTGTAGCCTCATGCAGAGGCTTTCCAAGTCTGCTTTTTTTTAAGATTTGTTTACATTTTTTTAAAGATTTTGTTTGTTTATTCATGAGAGACACAGAGAGAGAGGCAGAGGCCTAGGTGGAGGGATGAACAGGTTCCCCACAAGGAGCCTAATATGGGACTCGATCCCATGACCCCGGGATCATGACCTGAGCCAAAGGCAGACACTCAACCACTGAGCCACCCAGGTGCCCCTTAAGATTGATTGATTGATTTCTAAGTTTCTTTTTTTTAGTGATCTCTACACTCAGAGGGGAGCTCGAACTCATGACCCTGAGGTCAAGCGTCATATGCTCTTCTGATGAAAACACCCAAACACCCTCCATGTCAACTCCTTGTCTTGTTCTTTTTGATTTGCATCTAAGTTTTATTGTATAATTAGAAGGATAAAACAATTATTTTTTTGAAAGATTTTATTATTTATTCATGAGACACAGAGAGAGGCAGAGACCCAGGCAGAGGGAGAAGCAGACTCTCCTCAGGGGGGCCAGTATGGGACTAGATCCCAGGACCCCGGGATCACACTCCAAGCCAAAGGCAGACGCTCAACCACTGAGCCACCCAGGCGTCCCCAGAAAACAAAATCTTAATTCTAAGCACCTTCAGTGACAGAAAGTGGGCAGGGACAACCTGTGAATGTGAATCCAACATATATGATGTGCAGCAGAGATCTAACAACATGTGTTAAAGCAAAGGAAGCATCTGGCGTATTTGGCTTCTGTATTACAAAATACTCCATTTCCCCCTCAAACATAGGCCTTACGATATGACATGAAGTATCAGAGGGACCTTGTACAAGTTACACAAGTGAGTAGAAATAGCATTTGCAAAAGCTAAATATTTGTGTGCTGTTCCAAAATTATAGTAGTAGTAGTTTTTCCCTTTTATTTATTTAAGATTTCTTTTCTTCTTTTTTATTGAAGTATAGTTGGTACACACTGTTACAGTAGTCTCAGGCATACGGCGTAGTGATTGACCTATACGTTACGCCGTGCTCGCCACAAGTGTGGCTACCACCTGTCACCATACACCACTATTACAATCCCATTGACTATATTCCCTGTGCAGTACCTTCCACCCATGTGACTTATATTCAGTCTGCAACTGGGAGCCTGCATGTCCCACTCTCCACCCATTTTGCCCATCCCTCCACCCCTGCTCCTCCAGCAGCCATCAGTTTGTTCTCTGTATTTGTGGGTCTATTTCTGCTTTTGGGTTATTCGTTTGTTTTGATTTTGATATTCCACATATAAGTGAAGTCATCTGGTATTTGTTTTTCTCTGACTTATTTCTCTTAGGATAATGTTGTTGCAGATGGCAATATCTTTTGTCAGTTTTTAACAGTGGGGGAGAGGCAGAAGGGGAGAGAGAATCAGCCTGACATGGGTCTTGATCTCACAGCCCTGAGATCGTGACCTAAGCTGAAACCAAGAGTTAGATGCTTAACCAACTGAGCACCCAGGGGCCCCTTGTATATTTGTTTGTTTATTTATTTACTGACTTATTTAAGTTTTTAAAAAGATATTATTTATTCATGAGAGACACAGAAAAAGAGGCAGAGACACAGGCAGAGGGAGAAGCAGGCTCCATGTAAGGAACCTGATGTGGGACTCGATCCCAGGAATCCCAGATCACACCCTGAGCCAAAGGCAGACACTCAACCACTGAGCCACCCAGCCATCCCCATTTTATTTTTTTTATTTTTTTTTAAGTACGTTCCATGCCCAGTGTGGGACTTGAACTCAAAACCCTGAGATCAAGAGTCTTGTGCCCTACTGACTGAGCCAGCCAGGTACCCCTAAGATCACATTCTTTTTTATGGCTGAGTAATTTTCTGTGTGTGTGTGTGTGTGTGTGTGTGTGTGTGTGTGTACACGTGTATGTGCACATCACGTTTATTCATCTATCAGTGGACGCATAACATGGTTCCATGTCTTGGCTGTTGTAAAGCTGCAATAAATATAGGGGTGCACATATCTTTTTGAATTAGTGTTTTTTTTTCTTTTTTTTAAGATTTTATTTATTTATTCATGAGAGACACACAGAGAGAGGCAGAGACCCAGGCAGAGGGAGAAGCAGGCCCCATGCAGGGAGCCCGGTGTGGGACTTGATCCCTGGACTCCAGGATCGCGCCCTGGGCCGAAGGCAGACGCCCAGCTGCTGAGCCACCCAGGCGTCCCACTGTTTTTGTTTTCTTTGGGTAAATACCCAGTAGTGGTATTGCTGATCATATGCCACTTTTATTTTTAATTTTTTGAGGAACCTCCGTACTGCTTTCCACAGTGGCCACACCAGTCTGCATTCCCACCAACAGTGCACAAGTGTTCCTTTAACGCCACATCCTCGCCAACATTTGTTATTTCTTGTCTTTTTGATACTAGCCTTTCTGACAGGTGTGAAGTGGTATCTCATGGTGGTTTTGATTTGCCTTTCCCTGATGATAGGTGATGTTGAGCATCTTTTCATGTGTATATTAGCCATCTGTATGTCTTTGGAGAAATGTCTAATTTTTTTAATTGGATTATTTGGATTTTTCGTGTTGAGTTATATAAGTACTTTATAAAGTTTGGATATTTGGAAATACCATTTGCAAATATCTTTTCTCATTCAGTAGGCTGCCTTTTCATTTTGTTCATGGTTTCCTTTGCTGCACTGTGCAAAAGCTTTTTATTTTGATGTACTCCCAATACTTATTTTTGCTTTTGTTTCCCCTGCCTGAGGAGACATGCATATAATAATGTTGCTAAGACCAATGTCAAAGAGACCACTGCTTGTGTTTTCTTCTAGAAGTTTTATGGTTCCAGGTCTTTAATCCATTTTGAGTTTATTTCTGTGTATGATGATATAATATAGTCCCGTTTCATTCTTTTGCATGTGGCTGTCCAGTTTTTCCCAGCACGGTTTATTGAAGAGACTGTCTTTTCCCCATTGTATATTCTTGCCTCCCTAGTTGTAGATTAATTGGTCATATAAGCATGGGTTCATTTCTGGGCTCTCTATTCTACTCCATTGGTCTGTGTGTCTGTTTTTGTGCTGGTACTATACTGCTTTGGGTCACATGGATGTTTTAACAACACTAATTCTTCCAATCCATGAGCATGGAGTATCTTTCCATTTTTTTTGTGTCATCATTCATCATGATGAATTTCTTCCATCAGTGTTTTATAAGTACGTGTCTTTCACCTCCTTGGTTAAGTATATTCCTAGGTATTTTGTTCTTTTTGGTATAACTGTAAATGGAATTGTTTTCTTAATTTTTCCTTCAGCTATTTCATTATTAATATATAGAAATGCAGTAGATTCTATATGTTAATTTTTTAAAGATTTTATTTATTTATTCATGAGAGACACAGAGAGAGAGAGAGGCAGGGACACAGGCAGAGGGAGAAGCAGGCTCCATGCAGGGAGCTTGATGTGGGACTCGATCCTGGGACTTTGGGATCATGCCCTGAGCCAAAGGCAGATGCCCAACCGCTGAACCACCCAGGCATCCCTATATGTTAATTTTTAATATTTTATTTATTTATTTGAGAGAGAGAGCAGAAGCAGGGGGGCAGGGCAGAGGGAGAGGGAGAAGCAGACTCTGCTGAGCAGGGAGCCTGATGTGGGGCTCCATCCCAGCACCCTGAGATCATGACCTGAGCTGAAGGCAGATGTTTAACCGACTAAGCCACCCAGGCACCCCATCTATATGTTAATTTTGTAGCCTGTAACTTTATTGAATTAATTTATTACTTTTTTAAAAAAAAGATTGTATTTATTCATGAGAGACAGAGGGAGGCAGAGACCCAGGCAGAGGGAGCAGCAGGCTCCATGCAGGAATCCCAATGCGGGACTCGATCCTGGGACTCCAGGATCACACCCTGAGCCAAACGCAGGTGCTCAACCACTGAGCCACCCAGGCATCCCGAATTCATTTATTACTTCTAATACTTTTTAAAAATATTTTATTTATTTCTTTATTCATGAGAGACACAGAGAGAGGCAGAGACACAGGCAGAGGGAGAAGCAGGTTCCTCTTAAGGGAACCCGATGTGGGACTCGATCCCTGAACTGCAGGATCATGCCGTGAGCTGAAAGCAGAGCTTAACTGCTGAGACATCCAGGCGTCCCTAATACTTTTTTTAAAAGGTTTTATTTAGGGATCCCTGGGTGGCGCAGCGGTTTGGCGCCTGCCTTTGGCCCAGGGCGCGATCCTGGAGACCCGGGATCGAATCCCACATCGGGCTCCCGGTGCATGGAGCCTGCTTCTCCCTCTGCCTATGTCTCTGCCTCTCTCTCTATCCCTCTCTCTGTGTGACTATCGTAAATAAATAAAAATTAAAAAAAAAAGAATATTAAAAGGTTTTATTTATTTATTCATGAGAGACACAGACAGAGAGGCAGAGACACAGACAAAGGGAGAAGCAGGCTCCCCGTGGGGAGCCTGATGCAGGACTCGATCCCCAAACTACAAGATCATGCCCTGAGCTGAAGGTGATGCTCAACCGATGAGCCACCCAGGTGCCCCTACTTCTAAAACTTTTTTGGTGGAGTCTTCAGAGTTTTCTTTTTTTTTTTTAATTTTATTTATTTATTCATGAGAGGCACAGAGAGAGAGGCAGAGGCATCGGCCAAGGGAAAAGCAGGCTCCATGCAGGAAGCCCCATGCGGGACCTGATCCCGGGACTCTGGGATCACGCCCTGAGCCAAAGGCAGACGCTCAACTGCTGAGCCACCCAGGCGTCCCTCTTCAGTTTTCTGTGCATAGTATCATGTCATCTGCAATAGAGACAGCTTAATTCCTTCCTCACCAACATGGGTGCCTCTTCTTTTTCTTGTCTGACTGCTGTGGCTGGGATTTCTAGTACTATGTTGAGTAAAAATGGCAAGAGTGGACATCCTTGTCTTATTCCTAATCTTAGAGGAAAATTTCTCGGTTTTTCACCATTGAGTATGATGTTAGCTGTGGGTTTGTCATATATGGCTTCTTTTATATTGAGTTAAGTTCCCCCTGAACCCAATTTTTTGAGAGTTTTTAATCATGAACAGATATTGAATTTTATCAAATGCTTTTTCTGCATCTATTGAGATGACCGTATGATTGTTATCCGTCATTTTGTTAACGGGGTGTATTGCATCGATTGATTTGCAGATATTGAACCATCCTTGAGTCCCTGGAATAAATCTCACTCAATCGTGGTGAATGATCCTTTTAATGTGTTGAATTCAGTTAGCTAATATTTTGTTGAGGGTTTTTGCATCTATGTTCGTCAGGGATATTGGCCTGTAGTTCTCTTTTTTGTAACGTATTTGGTTTTGGTATCAGGATAATGCTGGCCTTGCAGAATGTATTTGGAAGCTTTCCTTCCTCTTTGTTTTTTGAAACAGTTTAAGAAGAGTAGGTATTAACTCTTCATTAAATGTTTGACAGACTTCACCTGTGAATCCTTCTGGTCCTGGACTTTTGTTTGTTGAGAGTGTTGTGATTCTCAATTCAAATAATCATTTACTAGTAGGCAGCCTGTTCAGCTTTTCTATTTCTTCCTGATTCTGTTTGGTGCATGTATCCATTTCTTTTAGGTTGTCTGATTTGTTGGCATAACATTTTTCATATTACTCTTTTATAATTCTTTGTGTATCTGTGATCTCAGTTGTCATTTCTCCTCTTTCGTTTCTGATTTTATTTGGATCCTCTCTTTTTTTCTCTTGATGAGTTTAGCTAGAGGTTTATCAATACAATACAAAGATTGTATTTATTCATGAGAGACAGAGGGAGGCAGAGACACAGGTAGAGGGAGAAGCAGGCTCCATGCAGGGAGCCCGACGCGGGACTCCATCCCGGGTCTCCAGGATCACACCCTGAGCCGAAGGCACGCTAAACCGCTGAGCCGCCTGGGCTGTCCTGTCTCCTTGTCTTTATGCCATGTCTCTCCCTACTCGATAAGTCTGTCCGTCACTGTCCACTATATGGACAAGGTTGGGGAGATTCTTACTGCGTGTGGTCACAGATTGTCTCCACAGGACTCCCAGTTGAAAGCCAGCACGTAGCATTAGGCATCTGTATCTGTGTTGTTGCTAACTGCCAGGCCACCTGGGTCCAGTGTCATGGTCTCCAGGTGTCTCCAAGGTGAATGTCATTAGCCTTGGGGGCAGCTGAATCCCCCTGTTTTCAGCCCAACAAGTTTGAGTCTTTCCCAACTCTCAGTGACACCATGTGTTGCATCGAATGTTCTCCCTTTCCCAAGAGTCCTCAATAAGCAACTGTCTCGTTTCAGGGGCGAAGCGGTCAGCAGGAGGGAGGGATGGTGAGGCTGAGGGCTCAGGTGGGGCTGGGAGGCCCGTGAGGCCGGGCTGTGGGGACTGGCCTCGCTGAGACCTCAGGAAAGGGTGGCTGTACGGGATCTGGGGTCCAAGGGGGGCTGGAGATCACGAACAGACGTGCTTTGCTCCAGCAGCTCGGGGCCAGGGGCAGCAGATGGTAGGCTCGCGCCAGGGCCGGGGCGTCCCACAGAGAAGGCTCCGGGAGCTGGAGAGGGCGGGCAGGAGGGTAGGGCATGGCGCAGGTGTCGCGGCTCAGCTGGGGAGGCTGTGCGGTGGCACCAGCGGGCGCAGGGCGGGCTGGAGGCTGGTGGACATTGGAATCGCCGGTTCGGCATCTGAGTTGGAGGCAGTGTCGCCGCCATGCACGTGACAGACACTTAGAGGTCGTCCTTGAACGAGGACAGCAGGGGCCACGGTGCAAGCAGTCTGAGTCCCCAGAGACGGCGGTTGGAGGGTGTCCATGTGGACGGTGCAGCGGGGGCTGAGGAGGCCCTGGAGCGGCTGCTTCATCCCCAGGGGAAGCAGGGAGCCCTGGGAGAGCGGGGACCGACGGCACAGGCCTTTTCTCGGCAGGAGACGGCGTCTACCAGAAGGGAATGGACTTCATTCTGGACAAGCTCAACCACGGGGACTGGGTGCACATCTTCCCCGAAGGTCAGTGGGGTTGGCGGGGTTGGACATGCCCCCAGCCCCCCAGGCCTCACCTCTGGCCTCTCTCTCCACAGGGAAAGTGAACATGAGCTCCGAGTTCCTCCGCTTTAAGTGGGGTAGGTGCTGCTGCCCGCCGGCCGGGGCGGGGGTGGCGGGGCTCGCGGAGGAGCTGGGCCACGGGAGTTGGTGTTGCTTGGAAGTGGGCGGGGGTGGCTTCGCTGTAGGCTGGCACCGAAGCTTTGCTCGTGCCAACGTTTCTGCCTCTCCCTGGGGCAGGAATTGGACGCCTCATTGCTGAGTGTCATCTCAACCCTGTCATCCTGCCGCTGTGGCACGTCGGTGAGCCTCCCTCTGGGGCCCAGTCGGCAGCCTGGGGATGCGGGTGGGAGAGATGGGGTGGTGGGGGGTGGGGGGGGCCCTGGGGTGGGGGCTGGGGCTTCATCTGTTCCCAGACTGCTCTGCTCCACCCCATGCCCGCTTCCTGGCCTCTGTCCATTGTGCTGCAGGAATGAACGATGTCCTTCCTAACAGCCCGCCCTACTTCCCCCGCTTTGGACAGGTGGGTAGGGGCTGCCGACCTTCACCCATCTGTCTTGTCTGCCATCTGCCTCGTGTGTCCCACTCGGCACCACTGAAGCCAGATTCAGGAGGAGCTGAGCTTAAAGCTGCAGCAGGGGGACCCGAGTGGGACGGGGGGGGGGGCCTTCCTGGCACCAAGGCTGGTAGAAGGAGAGCAAAAGAAATCTGGCTGGGTGGGGCTGAGGTGAGCCCCGGGCTTTGGACAGGACAGGCCATCTGGAGCATGGACAGCAGGACCGAATGTCACCGAGCCTGACCACCTCGGTTTAAAGGGGGAGCGTGGTCATGAGGGAGTATGTAGCGAGTTAGGGGCAGGGCTTGGCTTCTGGCTCTCTGGGGCGGTGGCGCTGTGGCGGTGGCCACTGTCCCTGTTGCTGTCACCCGCTGTGGCCGCTCTCCCTGCAGAAGATCACTGTGCTGATCGGGAGGCCCTTCAGTGCCCTGCCTGTGCTCGAACGGCTGCGGGCAGAGAACAAGTCGGCTGTGAGTTGTCTTTCTCCCCGCCCTCCCCCTCCCCGGCTCCCCTGTAGCTGTCTTAGCCTCCCCGGGCCCTTGGGCGAAGGTCCCCGAGGGCTGCAGGCCAGCCCCAGTCCTTCCCCTCAGGTGGAGATGCGCAAAGCTCTGACCGACTTCATTCAGGAAGAATTCCAGCGCCTGAAGGTCCAGGCGGAGCAGCTCCACAACCACCTGCAGCCCGGGAGCTAGGCACCGCCCGGCCCAGACCTGCCCTCGCTGCCTCCTGCAGGGCCGCTGGCCCCCAGCCTGGGGGGAGGCAGCTCCCACCCAGGCCCCAGCTGCCTGCTCTCGGGGCTGCCTTTGGGTTCTTGCCCCACACAGAGCTGAACTGGGGGGATGCGCTGATGTTTTGAGATCAGATACGTGTTTTTAGACAGATTTATGTTTAACCCTTGATGGGTAGCGTGTCCTCGTTGGTGAGCATTCCTTCTGCTCTGAGCTGCTTCAGTTGAAGGAAGTGCTCCTCCCACTTGGCCACGAAAAGAGGAGGAAATTTTGGCGGGGGCCTGCCTCCTCCTTGCCTTCAGGTGTTCTCCGCCAGGGCTGGCATCAGGATGGAGGGTACTTGAAGGGGGGTGGGCGGCCAGGCCAGAACTTTGGGTAAGGGGTCCAGGAGGCCCTTAGCCCGGCATCCACCCACCGGCCCCGATTTGGGAGCTGTCCAGCACCTCCTCAGGGATGGCCGCAGCCACGTCTTCCTTCTGCCCACACTTCCCGCAGATGTGGGGTCCTCGGGCAGGGCCCAACCCTGGGCTGCAAGCAGAAGAGCAGCCTTTTGCCAGAAGTGGAAGCCAGCTGAACAGAGCCTGCAGCAAGGGCCTGGCACCCAGCCACTTGCCCACGTGCCAGGGCCCACCAACTGCTCTGTCTTGTCCAGCTCTCTGGCATCACAGGAGTCCCCCCTGGGCCTGGGTTTTTGTATTTTGTAACCAATAAAGCATCTGTGTCGTGTTTTACCTTTGGCCTCTTCACAGGGGTGGGCATGGGAGGTGACCTGCTGGACACCCTTAGAGCAACAAGAGCACCTGGGCAGGTGGGTGTCAAGCTCTCCGCGTGCATCAGTCACTTAAAACTAAAGTCGTTATCGGGGCGCTGGGGGGCTTGGCTGGTTAAATGTCTAACTCTCGATCTCAGTTCAGGTCTTGATCTCAGGGTTGGGAGTTCAAGCCCTGTGTTGAGTAGGCCCAGTGTGGAGCCTACTTAAAAAAAAGAAAGAAAGAAAAAACTTCACTCACTATCTGTAATCCCTATAACAACCTTGCAAAAGTGGGGGTTAATCTTACTTTGCAAAGGAGGCCGAGCAGAGCTAATGGACTCGTTTCAAAACCCAAATCTGGTAAGGTAGGGAGAAGCAAATACAATTCAATCCTCTCCAGGCCAGTTCCCAGGACGGAGGAGTTCTCCGAAGGGCCCAGCCAGCCACGGTGAACGTGCTGTGGTGGGAGGGGAGAGCGGCAACACCTTGATTGAGCTTGAGACGCTTGGTAGGAGCAAAGGCCGTGGTGGTGGTGCTCCTAGTAGAAGCAAAAGCAAATCCTCTAGAGAAAAGTGAGTCCGGTTTGGGTCTCCAGTTCATCCACAAGTTAAGATCAACCCACAAGACTTCGCAAAGATCACCGAATGTATGGAAGTGTCTGCAGAAACGATAGTTTGAAACCTGTAGGAACTTCTGAAATGGACAGAGATGGATCATGGACAATAATAGAAATGTGGAAAGAAAGAAAAGCTGGAGCCACAGGAGTGAGCCAGCAAGAAGGGAAGACTCGAAGACGATCAGGGCTGTAACTGCAAATCTGCAATTATTTCAAAATATAATGTCTTTAAAAATCACCAGAAGGGGAAAAAAATCACTTGGGGGCAGGGAGACACGCTGTCGGCCAATTTGCATTCGCAGCTCCAAATGTGGCATCACTTTTTTCCCACATATATTCATTTGAACAACTACAGATATTTACTGTCCAGATGCTCCTGCAATTTGATTATTTCACATAGACTATATTTTTAGAATAGTTTTATGTTCACAGTGAAATTTGGCTGGTCCTGGGATTGTGAAATTTATAAATACCACTCACCATATTAAAGAAGAAAAAAAGAAAGCATAAAGGAGAAAATCCATGTGGTTATTTCAATAGATACAGAAGATGCACTTGATAAGATATTCATAATTTAAAAAATTTTTAAACTATGAGCAGAAGGGAGCTTTTTTTTAAAAAAAGATTTTATGTATTTGTTCATGAGAGACAGGCTCCCTGCAGGGAGCCCCATTTGGGACTCAATCCCAGGACCCCGGGATCATGCCCTGAGCCAAAGATGCTCAACCACTGAGCTACCCAGGTGCCCCTGGGAGGGAACTTAAAAAAAAAGATTTATTTTAGAGAGATGGGGAGGAGCAGAGGGAGACGGAAAGGGAGAACCTTAAGCAGACTCTTCCCAGCACGGAACTAGATGTGGGACTCGATCTCACAACCCTGAGATCATGATGTGAGCCAAAATCCAGAGTCTGCTGCTTAACCGACTGAGCCACCCAGGTGCCTCAAATGGAACTTTCTTTTTTGTTGTTGTTATTTTTTTTATTTTATGATAGTCACACACAGAGAGAGAGAGAGAGAGAGGCAGAGACACAGGCAGAGGGAGAAGCAGGCTCCATGCACTGGGAGCCTGACGTGGGATTCGATCCCGCATCTCCAGGATCGCGTCCCGGGCCAAAGGCAGGCACCAAACCGCTGTGCCACCCAGGGATCCCCCAAATGGAACTTTCTTAATCTGAAAAAGTCTATAAAAAACCCTTTTTTAAAGATTTTATTTTTTTATTTGACACAGAGATCACAAGGCAGGGGGAAGAGCAGAGGGAGAAGCAGACTCCCTGCCGAGGAGAGAACCTGATGCGGAACTTGATCCCAGGACCCTGGGCCAAAGGCAGATGCTTAACTGAGCCACTTCAGGTGCCCCCCAAAAACCTTTCTTAATCTGATGTAAACTATAAACAACTAGAGTAAATATTATTTTTTGAGTTTGAAATTTTAGAAACATTCCCTTCAAAATTTGGAACAAAATGAGGATGCCAACACTGTGCTGGTGGTACCAGACGAGTAAGACAAGGAAAGGAAATCAAAATATACTGATTGTAAGGAAAGAAAGAAAACATTCATTGTATGCTGATTATAAGATTGTCTACATAGAAAACCCAAAAGAATTTACGATTTTTTTTGAAATAAGGGCTTAGGAAGTTTCCCAGCTATAAGATCAATATGTACAATATCGATTGTATTTTTTTTAAGATTTTATTTATCTATTCATGAGAGACAGAGAGAGAGAGAGAGAGAGAGAGAGAGAGAGAGACAGGCAGAGGGAGAAGCAGGCTCCATGCAGGGAGCCCAACATGGGACTTAATCCCAGGTCCCCAGGATCATGCCCTGGGCCCAAGGCAGGCACCAAACCACTGAGCAACCTGGGCTGCCCTCGATTGTATTTCTATACACACACTAGCAATAAAGAATTAAATCATATAATTGAAAATAAGACACTATTTACAAAAGCTACAAAGTACCTAGGAATCAATCTAACAAAATATGTGAAAGACCCATATAAGGAAAATCTTTTTTTTTAAGATTTAATTTTTTTATTTTTTAAAGATTTTTAAAAAAGATTTTATTTATTTATTCACGAGAAACACACACAGAGAGAGAGGGAGAGGGAGAGAGAGAGAGAGAGAGAGAGAGAGAGAGAGGCAGAGACACAGGCAGAGGGAGAAGCAGGCTCCACTCAGGGAGCCCGACGTGGGACTTGATCCCGGGACCCTAGGATCAGGCCCTGGGCTGAAGGCAGGCACCCAACCGCTGAGCCCCCCAGGCATCCCGGATGTGGAGCCCACTTAGAGAATGGGTAAAATGTAAATGTATTATGGATATTTTACAGGAAAATTTTATCATATGGTTTCACTCCTATGTGGAATATAAGAAATAGTGAAAGTGTCTCTAAGGGAAAGGAGGGGAACTGAGTGGGAAAAATTAGAGAGGGAGACAAACCATGAGGGACTCCTGACTCTGGGAAACAAAGGGTTGCGGGAGCGGAGGTGGGCGGGGGGATGGGGTAACTGGGGGATGGGCACTGGGTGTTATATATTGGCAAATTGATTTTAAATAAAATATTAAATAAAAATTGGCTAAGATGGCAAATTGTGCCACACAATTTTATCTACCACAACTTTATCTTATTTGTTTTTTTTTATTTTTTGAAGATCTTATTTATTCATGAGAGACACAGAGAGAGGGGCAGAGACACGGGCAGAGGGAGAAGCAGGCTCCCTGCGGGGAGCCCGACGTGGACCCTGGGATCACGCCCTGAGTGGAAGACAGACACTTAACCAACTGGAGGCACGCTGGTGCCCCTACTTTACCACAATTTTAAATACTCAAGATTTTAGAAATCATCTAATGAATCTGACAAGTTGATTCTAAAATTTATATGGAAGCAAAGTAGCCCAAGAAGAGCCTGTTGAAAAAGAACAAGTGGGAGAACTTTACCAGGTATCAAAGTTTACTATGGGGGATCCCCGGGTGGCTCAGTGGTTTGGTGCCTGCCTTCGGCCCAGGGCGTGATCCTGGGGTCTCAGGATCGAGTCCCACATCGGGCTCCCTGCATGGAGCCTGCTTCTTCCTCTGCCTGGGTCTCTGCCTCTCTCTCTCTGTGCCTTTCATGAATAAATAAATAAAATTTATAAAATAAAAAGAAATATGTTATCAAAGTTGCATAATTTCATTTAGCACTGCCAGCAGGTTAAAGTCTCAAATTAAGTCTTTAACATAATACTCATTTTTATTTTTTATTTTATTTTATTTTTATTTTTTTTAAGATTTTATTTATTCATTCATGAGAGACAGACAGAGACAGAGAGAGAGGCAGAGACATAGGCAGAGGGTGAAACAGGCTCCATGCCGGGAGCCCAACGTGGGACTCGATCCCGGGACTCCAGGACTGTGCCCTGGGCCAAAGGCAGGTGCTAAACCACTGAGCCACCCAGGGATCCCCGAATTTACCCTTCTAAATGATCCTCAGACTGCAATTCCTAGTTTGCAAATAAAAGAATGCACTATATAATTTTAAAAAATTAAGTATTGTACCATTTATGGTGGTGGGCTTTCTTACTAATACACGAATAAATTTAATCATTTCCAAGGCATTCTGTTGGTTTAGAAGTTGATCCCCAGGAGTGCAGTATTTCAGCTACTGTTATTTCCTTTATCCCCTGTAGTGTAAGCAGCTCAAATACTTTGTGTTACTGTTTTTGTATCAGATCTTTTGCCCAGGATGCAATCACTGTCAGATCACTGTTCTTTTCTTTCTTTTTTGTGATTGAAAAGCCTATACTGCAATTTGAAATAAATATTTGCTTTTCTTAGTAAGTGTAAATGGTTGTTTTTTTTTTAAGTTATGAGTCTTTGGTCTAGAAAAAACAATACAGGGTTGTCAAGTGGCCTTCTAGGTAAAGTAGCCTTGTCTATAATTAACACTTAGTCGTAGAATGAAAAGTACTTAAGAGTGATTGGGCTAAAGTTTATGACTGATTATATGAACATGTTAATGCCTCTTTTTTGAGTTACCTATAAATATACACTTTGCCAAGTATCATTTTGTCAGCCCCTATATATAAATCCAAGTACCTCACCTGAATAATTGAATTTTATTTTTCTTGCTGTCTTTCTTTCTTAGAAGTATAGAATATGCTATACTTAGAGAATAGAAATGCCCCAAATTCAAATAGATGGTTTATGAACCAGAGTATACATGGAAGACTCTGTGCTGACGTTGCTTTTTGAGTGTCTGCAGCTTCTTTGGCTTAGATTGAAGCACTACCCTGAGCCTGTCCCTTCTTGGCCTTCCATCATTTGTTCTCCGCTTTCCTTTTGATTCATTGGGCATGCCAGAGAAATCGTCTGATTTACTCACATAATGCCAT